ATTTTTTCGATGCATTGTTCCTCCTAGTTTTCCTATTGATTTTTTTTCCCATCAGGTTATTTTCATTATACTTTATAAGAGATAACATATTTTTTTTTGTGTGTGTGTTTTCTCTATATCAATTAATTATTGTCTAGTCATTGTAAGGTTACACTAAAAAGGTGTGCCGATGAAGCGTTATTCAATCAATTGACTGATTGACTATTGATGCATTTGCAATACTGTATTGATGAAGCCTAAATACACATTGTAGAAAGTTTAAATCCTGCTTTACATAAGAAATACAGGAAAGAAAACAGGATATCTTTATAACATGTTTTCTCTTTTGGAATTTCGATATCACACCTTTTTCCTAGTCGTTCTATATACCCATATTTTATCCACAAAAAACACACTATTATTTCTGTACTTCTACAGTTACTGCTGAGCTCAAGCGTAAGATTTTAGAGTGGCTTGAGCTTGAAGTTTGTTCGAAAAACGTGAGGTTCACGCCGGATGCGTGAGACTTGGTATGATATAGGCCTAATAATATATTGACTATATTTTTGATTTATTTTCTTTAGTATAGGCCAAAGAATGCGATAAAATCAGCTGACCTTTTTTAAGTGGGGTAAAACCTTGAATTTTGAATAAATTAAAGGTCATTAAAAGACACCTCAGAAGTCGGGAAAGCTCGTATTTCCGGCCATCTAGGAATCAAAATTTTCCCGGGGGAGGACGCCGGACCCCTTTTCATTCATTGGGTTTATGGGAAAATGAATCCCCCTATTTCAAATCCTGGATCCGCCCCTGGAAAGGGAATTATACACTGATCATTTATTGTCATTACACCTAAACAACATAATACATATTTACAGCGATATAGACCAATATATAACGTCACATGACACAAAAGGTCAAAAAATCAAACTTACCAAAAGTTGTCGTGTTTAGTATCATTTGAAAGCTCTGCCAATGATGAGTTATGTTTTCCGGTATATACATATCAGAAACTGTGTAGTTTTTCATATATTGTCCTGTAAATCTAATTATCAAATAGAACAAAATTCTACAAACACACTCTTTAGCTGATTTATTAGAAGGGGTCAGTCCAACTACGACCCATCATTTTACTATAGGTTTGACCAGATATGTACACCTGCGTGCATTCTGGGGAAATACTTGATTCCTCCGAGTCCAAATGAACCCAGGATAGGCCAGGGGCCCCACTCTTACTCCATGGTGGCCAAGGCAAATACAGTATGTTGTGTTTTCCTACTTATTGATGATTCTACATACATGAACAATGGTACAACGTTACGTGCTATATAATATATTTGATTGGCTGATTGATTTGTTATAACATTAATAGGCATGGTCCTCCCAGTGGTGCAACGACGGTCCCGGGCCGAAACAATGTTATGAGCACCATGCATATCAGTAAAATATTTTTGCTCACGAAGTGACACCGGGGTGGGTATTCCCCCTAGAGATAAGTGTTAAGGATGAAAAGACTTTAATTATTAGACAATGCCAAAAAATGTTTTGTGAATAATATTTGGCACACATTTTTAATTTGAATAAGATGTGTATAAGAGACAGGTATAATACATACTCCAAGAGTCCTTTATCCGAACACTGTATTTACCTTACTTTGATGATTTATATATATATATATATATATATATATATATATTATATATATATTAGGTCTATGCATATGCACGTGAATTTTCTTAGCTTTGCCAATATAAATAAGTATTATCAAACAATCATTCAATCAATCATTTCAGGGTGGGTCCAGGAGACACGGGTCTATCCCAACCCCCAAAAATTAAAGAAGAAAGAGAGAAGAAAGACCAGAAAGAAGGGAGCATGACGTCACTGTAGGCTTACTTCAAAACAACCTATTTTTTTTTTTAATGTCTGTTGTCTCCACCATTTCTAAACAAAATTCTTTCTCTATATCTGTCCCTTATGTGTGGATGGATATATTCGGTGTAAACACCAAGGATAACCCACAAAAGTCGGAAGAGTACTTGTTTCCAGTGAGGTCCTTCTGGTGGTGATTGGGCACTACACCGGCAGTGGCCTAACCGATGGGCCCGGGGCCCTGTGGTTTTCTGAGACAGGGGTCCCCTTTTTGATCCGGTCACCACTTTGATTGTGGGAATTTAAATTTGCTCGTTTTTCTAATATTTGGCATTGTATTCTAGATTGCTTTTAACAACGAAATAAATTATATATCAGTTGCAGATTTAGGTATTCAAAATAGAGGGAATGTGGGTAGGGAGGGACTTTCACACACCTATGCTACCAACAGGTTAAATGTCTCATCCGAAAGACGGTGCGCTATCGTAACTTGCATTTCAGCCCTCCAACTGAAATACAAGGAAGAGCAGTGATGGGAATTCAATGCACTACCTCATTCCTAAAGCCCCTTCCAATTTCCATCTTAGAAAACTTAAAGTTATTGGAACCTCATACACTCTGTGCTGGATATCTATATTCATTTAGGTATATATAAATCATGAGATATAGACCGTGGGTTGAGGCTCGAAAACGTTCAATTCTGTGACCCACCGATACGGGCTACCTGGCATTTACACAAAAATGTCAATACTATTATATTGAAACATAAAATGACTGTCGGCAATCGTGAATTTGGGGGAACTGTAACCAAAAATGAAAATTTATCTTCAAAATTGAACCGCTTGGTACGTAACAATAGCCAATCAGAAGATGACTAACAAAAAAGGTAGGCTCAGCTGCTAAGAGCTCAGCCAATCAAAAACTCCCTTCTATGCAGTTTGTCCAATGTAAATAGTAAACAAACTTGCAAGTATGGCGTTGTCGACGGATACAAGTACATCTAATGATGAAATTGAGCCTCTTATAGGGCTATTTTGTGCTATGCATGTGGTTAAAAGCAAAAGTAAGGTTGTGCCATTTAGTGAAACTAGCCTTAAAAAAATTAAGGAGTGTGCAAAGCTGTGGAAATCTACAAACAAGAGTCCGCAGTATGAGGTTGCTGTCGAGGCTTTCGAGACGTACTTCAAAGACGAAGAGGATCTGGGGGATGGCAGTGCCAGTCCAAGCAGTAAGCCTAGGCCTAGTCAAGAATTGGCTAAATCTGTTCGAAGTTATGTGTGTGGTGACAAGTAAAGTTAAAAATGGTATTTCTTATGGTATTTTGTACGGTAGTAATTATGCTCTCTACTACATTAAGCATGGTACTCACGGAACTCAGGCCTTGCTATTATGCACCACCTGTTTCTTCCCGTGACACCACCTACCTAGCTACACTGACAGGACAGGAGGAAGGCCTACTACTATTACCTCAAAAAACATAATAATTTTCATATTTGAATGTTATCCTATAGGGTACGTGTGTGTATAGGTTGATATGGCTTTTTCTTCACCTGCGTTTCATCATCTGTGGAATATATATTGTGTTAACTGTACTGTTTGTGTTTCTATTTGTCCCTGTTAGGAAACGCCGGGGTACCCCAGGGTACCATCGCGAATGCTACAGGAACTTCTGTAATTTAACAGATATTAAAAGAGCAATCAACAAAAAGAGAAAAATACAAGGTAGGTTTATGTGTGTTTAGTATACAGATGTACTAATCATTACACTCATCTAATCTATAATTAACTGCGATTTTTTTTTAATAAATGTAATAATATGTCATGAATCCAAGATAAATCCACCATAATAATAGCAACTTTTGCCATTGGCTGTCAACAATGTTTTACAATGTTTTACTTCAGTCAATTTGGTTTTTATGAGTGGGTCTGCCTTTTAATGCATGTGTTTACTTTAATAAATTAAGGCTATTATTGATCTTAATGTTGTCATAGTAACAATATAGCAAAGTTATAATGACAATGCATAATGTTATGCCTCATCCACACAGAAAACCATAACCTATTGACACAGCATAAAAATATAGCGAATTATAGTAATATTTATCAAACATTTAGGTCAGTTTTTCTACAATTATCACCCACGTTTATTCTTGATTTATGCTACTACTTATACTGCATGCTAGAACAGACTTTGATTAAAATGAAATAATTAAAA